GGAGGGGCAGGGGAATCAGATAAACCTAAATTGAGGGAACAACTGCTAACAACGAGTCAGCTCTGTTTCATAATGTCAGTGTCGTGAAAAACAAATGCCAAGAAACTGCCTTTGATGAAAGGAGATGAAAGGAGATTAAAGAGACAATGCAACTAAAGGCTCTTCTATTACTCTGGCATTATTGGGACATTGGAGAAGATTGGCTATGCACTATGCTTTAGGTAGTAGTAGTAGTATAGCATTGTGTGATCATTTTAGGAATCGTATCAGAAAAGGTCCTTGTTCTCAGGAGATACATACTGAAATATATAAGAGAATGCTCTTGTCATATGATGTCTGCAAATCAGTCTCAAATGATTCACAATGTAATCATAACCATAACATGTAGTTACCTACAGGAAAAAATGCGATGAAATGTTAACACTTGATGAATTTAGGATATTTATGACATGCAATGTTTTTGTCTTGCAACTTTTTTTTAGGTTTGAAACTTAAAAAGATTTTGAAAGTTCTTTAGAGACTCTGAGGCTGAGAAGGTAAGGGAGTCCCTCTCGCCACATAATTCAAAATAAAATTAAAACTAAAACTAAAATAAAAGGAAGGAAGTCCAACAGGGTTGTGAATTTCCCCCATGATTATTGGGCAACACTTTTCAGGAAATACTAAAAACTACTTTCTTATAAAAAACATGTTTCTTCATCAGTGTGACCTATCTTTGCTCTTTCTAGTGATGGTGACAAGACTGTGATGACCCCCAATTGGTGGACAAGGGCATTGGAGGCTAGGACGAGAAGCTGGCTCACACAAGGCCCTGAGGAGCAGGCAGGGTCAGACCTGGTTGGTTTGACTGAATTGAGTGAATGAGCAGGGTTTGCGTGAAGGTGCCCAGGCGGGCAGGAGAGCTGAGCAGAGCACTAGGGGAATGAGAACGGTCTATACGATGACGGGATTGTGCGGAGAGCATGGACCATTTCTGTGGCTAAGCAGGGTAGGGCTGATCCCAAAGGTCATCCCTGTCAGACAAGGAGCCTGAACTTGTCCTTTAGCTGGACAAGGGAATTTGTCCTTTTGCTGGACAAGTGAACTTGTGCTTTTGCTGGACAAGTAGACTTTTTAGAGGACAAATAGGCTAGGGTAGGTGTTGTGGGGAAAGGGAGAACCCAGCCTAGGCTCCGTGTCAGGACCCGCTCCTGCAGCAAAAGGAGGGCTCTGGGTCGTTTTGTCCTCTTTCTACAGAAACCCAATGGATCAGGTCAAAGGTGGAATTTGATGAAATTAGGGGTGGATGTGGCTCATGCTTCAAAATGCATGTGTATTTTGTCACTGAGCCCACAGGGACGGTGGATATTTTAAGATGCACATTCAGATTCCTCTGCTCCAAAACCTGGACTGGCTTTCCTTGTCCTGCCAGACAGAGCTCAGACCCCTCAGCTGGACAGGCTGGCCCTTGCCAAACTACCAGCCACCTGAGCTCCCACCAACTTGTCTTACTCCCACTCCAAGTCCTTGACCTGGCTGCTCTGTGATCCTGGAGGGCCCCCTCCCAGCAAAGTGTCCCAAATGTGGCAACCCACAGTGATGCCTCCTTCCACCAAACTTCTGTGGCTTTAGTGTCTTCAGACACACAGCAGAACGCTGCTGTGCTCAGTGACACATCCTGAGTCCCCCAGGGCATTATAAGCACCCAAAAGCAGGGAAGGGATGGGAAATAACATTCTGTATGATCTTCTTTATACATGTTGTAGCATGTGTCAATGCTTCATTACTTCCCCACGAAGGAATGAAGCATTGACACATGCTACAACATGAATGAACTTGGAGAAAGTTTGCTGAGTGAAAGAAGCTAGGGACATTGCTGTCCCTAGAGAAATATTTACTAATCAAATTGCCAGTCTTCCCAAAGGAAAGTCGTTATCCCTCCCACCTCAATGGCCAACTGGTATGGAGCAAGAGCTCCAGAAAAGGCAAGAGGAAATGGACAAAGCCTGGGATGTGCAAGAGGAAGCAGAAGCCAGTTATCCAGAAAGGCTTCACGTGGCCGCCCAGGGGGTTTCCAGTACTAGAACGCCTCTTCTGACCTTGACTCATGGAAGATTGCATTGGGGAGATGTTAGGCTGAGTCTTCCAGCTGAAGGCCTAGAATTGCTGGGGCCACAGACAGCTCTGCAGGGATAGGAATGCTACTGAGGGACCCACGGGACCAATTTAGGGCACCTCCCCCAGGGGGTGGTACGTTTGGGTCTTCTTGATGAATCACCAATATTATAGGGTTAATTTACGTCACACTGAAACTTAAAGTAAACCTATGCCTGTACTAATTGTCAAGGCATGTTTTATTACATGACAATTCAATAAAAAAAAAAAAAAAAAAAAGGTTGTCCAAAAGACAGACTATATCAAGTGTTGGCAAGAGTATGGAGAAATGGGAACCTTTATATATTGTTGGTGGGACTATAAAATGATGCAGCCACTTTGGAGACCAGTTTGGCAGTTCCTTTGAAAATTTAGACATGAATTTACCATACAATCCAGCAATTCTACTCCTAGGTATCCAGTTATGATAAATAAAAACATATGTCTACACAAAGACCCATATGAGAACGTATATAGTAGCTTTATTCACAATAGCCTCAAACTGAAAACAACCCAAATATCCATCAACTGCTGAATGGATAAACAAAATGTGACCCATTACAATGAATAGTATTCAGCCACACGAAGGAATGAAGCATTGACACATGCTACAACATGAATGAACTTGGAGAAAGTTTGCTGAGTGAAAGAAGCTAGATGCAAAAGGACAACTCCTATATGATTCCATTTATATGAAAGGTCCAGAACAGGAAAATCCAGAGATAGAGAGCAGATCAGTGGTAGCCAGAGCTGGGGGGAGGGGCTCGGGTAGGGATAGAGAGACTGCTAATTGGCATGATTTTTTTGTGTGTATGTGTGGAGGGTGCAATGGAAATGTTCTAAAACTGGATTGTGGCGATGGTTGCACAATTCAGTAAATTTACCAAAAATCTTTGAACTTTATACTTGAACTGGGTGAATTTTACAGTATGAAAAATTATACTCCAATACAATTGCTTTAAAAGCATTGCCTTTCCATCGTTAATGTTTATTTCTGAATAGGTTGTGCTCTTTGTGGGTTCCTGTTCCTGGCAGCTCTGGCGGCCTCACCAGCCATCGCAGGACTTTGAGGAAACCCCTTGGGCTCCTGGTGAATGGGGGCTATATTGTTGGGGGCCAAGAAATGGATTCTCCAGCCCTTTTCATGAGATGTTGGAACAAGGATCGCCCAAAGGGAAACTTCCATAAGCCACTTTGAGAGAGGGCGATGACTGTTCACATGCCACCCACGCAGTTTCAAGGAAAACAGCAGTTCTCTAGGAAGTAGCCCATAATGGCCACAAGAGGAGGCCCTGTGAGAATCTAGTGCTCCCATCTTACCAGGTCAGATCTTGTTGAAATGATGTCATATTACAGAGTGGGTGACTGTAAGGATGCTGTGGTGAGGGAAGGAATGCAATTCTCAGGGACCCCGACTCCCACCTCTGCCCATTGCCCTCTCTCTCTACAAGTTTCCTTGACACCCCCTCCCCCCATGGAATGCCCACATTCTATGTTAGACAGCCGGTGTGCCTGGCCCAGGTTGGAGTCAGCATCCTGCCCTTCGCTTCCCAGTCTGGGTGGGGGCTCTCCGTGGAGTGTGTTGAGGTTGGGGTGGCCGGGCACGGCTGGAGACTTGTTCCCCTGCCAGCCTAGAGCATGACCATAGCTCCCAGGTGATGAGGTCTCAAGGACACAGCTCTAGGCAGGTGCAGTTCACCCTCTGCACAAATCCACCTACTGATGTGGCATTGGCCAGTGTCAGGATGGCGCCCGGAGGGAGCTCCTTCCCAGTGGCAAGGTGTGAGACTTCCCTGGGGACCAGCGCACGGTCCCATATGGCCAGACCTGCTATGCTCCCCACGAAGGCCTCAGAGCTGTCAAACCCACCCCCCATGCTGTCTTGCTCCTGGCCCAGCACCAGGGACCCACCAGAAGAGATCTCATAGCCCTCCCTGAAGTGGGAGCCAGTGGCCACTAGCCTGCGGTCCACGTGGAGCCAGTACCTGCCCAGGATGGATGTCCAGATGACACACATGTGGTGCCACTGGCCGTCCAGTAGCAGCTGCAGGGGTAGCTCCCTGAAGGCCGGGTCTCCGATCACAAAGTGGATGGAGCCTGGGGATAGGGAGTCCCGGCCGTGCAACACCAGCTTGTTGTCATTCTCCTCGGTGGCATAGGAGAGGAGGGTGCCCAGGCGGCCCAAGGCTGTGCGGACCCAGCTGCAGACAGACAGGGCCCGAAGGCCCAAGGGGAAGCTGGGACTGAGAAAGACCACATTCTCGGTGGAGGCATTTGGGAAGACGAGTGCAAGGCCCACGCTGCAAACTAGAAACACAGGGGAGACAGTCAGCCTCTGCACCACAAAGCCACCCAGAAATACCTAGAAGCTTCGAGAAATATACAGAAACACCCATGCTCCAAGGAATGCCCTTTGCCCCAGGCAAGTGGGCCTGAGACCTCAGAAGCTGATCTTCATCAATCACTAACTGTGAGGTTTGTGTCTCATTATCTTCACACACAAGCCCCATCTGGTAGGCAGAAAGACTGAGAACCAGGGCAGTCATATGCATTGCTAAGGAGCAGGTCTGAGCTGACACTCTACCACTAGCGTAGCCTCTGTGTGTTTACAGTGGCAGCTGTAACAAATCTCCACAAACTCAGTGGCTCAACACAACACAGATTTAGTATCTACAGTTCTGGGGGTCAGAAGTACGACAGATCTCACTGAGCTAGCTAGAATCATGGTGTTGGCAGGGCTGGTTTCTTCTGGAGGCTTCAGTGATAAGCTCCTTCCTACCCTTTCCAGCTTCTAGAGATGCCTGCATCTGTGGCTTGCAGCCCTTCCTCCATCTTCAAAGTATATCCCTCTGACCTCTGCTTCTTCGTCACATCTCTGATCCTGACACTCCTGCCTTCCTCTTACAAGGACCCCTGTGATGACACTGGACCATAATCCAGGATCATCTCCCACTTCGAAATCACAACCTCAAAGTCTTTTTTGTCACATGAAGTGACACATCCACAGAGTCCCAGGATCAGGACCTGGACATCTTTGGGGGCCATCGCCCTGCTGACCAGATGTCCTGCCAGGTCTGCCTGACAGAAGGGTCTGTGGGGCAGGCGTGGGCCTGCAGCTGCTGCATCTGGTCCAAGGTTCTGATCAGCAGGCTGGGGGCAGAGCCCGAAAATATACTTCCCTAGCCTATCGACCCATTGGGTTCAAGGATGCAGGGCATTCTGTGGCCGGCCCCAAGCTTCTCTTTCTACCTTGGGGGCTCTTGTCATAGGGAAGCAGTCCTAAACTGGAGGTAACTGTGCTTTTAGGGTACATCTAGCAATGTCTGAACACAGTTTTAGTTGTCAGAGCTTTTGGGAGCAACCCTATAGCTATTCATTTCTTGGGAGTCCTGGTAGTTTACTTAGGGTCAACTAACGGGTCCTGTCTTATTGGTGAGGCCACCAGAGACCCTGGGAGGAAAGGGAACACTGCTTAAAATTAAGGGGCCCAGGGGGCTGCTAAACCAGACAGAGGGATCAACCTATCAAAAATGAAAGTTAAAGATGAACTGGAATCTAGTGGATGGAGACTGGGGATGCTGCTAAACATCCTAAAGTGCCTGGGTCGGCTCCCACAACTAAGGACCGCCTGGCCCCAAATGTCAGTAATGCTGCAGTGGAGAACACCTCACCTGGGATATCAGAGCCAGCTTTACAAAGCCCTGGGAACCTCCGTGGGTGGGCACAAACCCCACAGAGGTGTTGGCTGAGCGGGGTTACCGCAGAGAGGGCTCATGCTGGTGAGGGCATCGGTGGGATCCCGCCAGTCCCGATGAGGCCAGACTCTGATTTGGAGTGGGCATATACAGACCGCTGGGCAGCACCCTGTCATATGTGCACATTCACTCCTAATACCCAGGCAGGGGGGTGGCCTGACCTGCCAGGGACCTGAAGACTGTCTTTCACCTGGATGGCCCCTTTCTTCTGGGTGGAGTATGAAGGGTGTGAAGCCAGTATCCTCTCCACATAGCCCCAAGCAGATAGCTTTTGGGAGGGGACTGGAGATCTAAGGAGGAGTGAGAGGGAGAAATAGAGGCAGATGGGCGAAGGACAGTTCCACAGTACTTACTCTCTCCCGGTATCTCAGGAGGCTGTGCCCTCTGACTGCCTAGGTCTGGGGGCTCCTGTGATCCCTGGAGACGGCCAGCGAAGTCCTGGGGTGGGTCCCTGGGCTCAGGCAAAGCTCTGAGCACCTGCCTGGCCCCCTGCAGCTTTGGGGAGCTTGGGCTTGGTGGCCCAGGCTGGGCAGGAGGCCAGACCGGGTCTTCGGTACCCAGGCCAGCCACCTGCAGCCACCCCTTGAGACTAGCCAGTCTGGCACCCTGGCTCTGCACAACGTGCATCAGATGAGCCAGTGTGTCCTGCAGGGCCCGCACATCCAGGACCAGGCTGGACAGGGCTTCCCTCTGTGCCTCCTGCTCCTTCCTCTCCCGGGTGTGCTGCTGGCTCCTCTCACTCAGGGCGGTGCTCAAGGCCAGCAGCCTAGAGTCCACCTTCCGGCTCCTGTGCTGCGTCTTCTTCATCCAGGTCTTGAGGTGGCCCAGGTCACCCTGCACAGCAGCCTGTGACTGGTTGACCACCAGAGCCACGGCCTGGCTCTCTTGGGCCAGGTTCCGGAACCGGGCATCAATGTTGAAGGACAGGTTGTAGTTGCTGGCGATGGCCTGCAGGTGTGTTAAGGTCACCTCCCGGAAACTCCGAAACTGCAGAGGACACACAGTAACCATGGGGGCCAGGGCAGGGAAGGGCAAGGAACAAGCCTTCCCTGCTGTACTTCTGTGGTGCCTACTGAGAGCCAGTGGATCACCTCGACCAGCCCCTTCACAGATGAGCTCAGAGAGGCAGGGCACGAACCCAAGGTCACTCAGCAGCACTGTGCAGGCTGAGGCCTCCTGCTCTTCACCCCTGACCCTCAGGCTCCTCCCTGTGAGTGGATGGATGCCAGAACTATGTGAGCTATTTGTGGGGGTCAAAGTGGGGAGTACTTGACACAGGACTGACACATGCAGGGTGCTCGGGAACTGGCTATCAACCCATATGGGAGCATCTGCTTCATGGTGGACATGAGACCTTACCCCCATGCCCAGTGTCGCTGTCCCATCTGTCTGCCATGGCCCCAGCATGCCTTCAGTCACATCCCTGGGGGCTTCCCACCCCCTCCCAGCCTCTGACTCCCACCCAACCCTCATGTGTCAGAATCTTCATTGTCTTCAGAACGGGGCCCAGGAAACCTTTTTTGCTGGTTTCCAACTATAGGTGAAATTAATGTTGGCTGATAAAAAGAACTACAAACTCCACATCTGTGGTCACAGAGTGCCGATACTATTCCATTTCTGTAACATCCATCCTACCTCTTTTGTCAATTAAAAAAAAAATCAACCGCTCCACAGAGTAGGTATACTTACCTGCTCCTCCAGTCGGCGGAGCCTCTCGAAAAATGGTTTTCTTTGCCCTGCAGGGCCAGCTTCCTGGGACAAAGCGCCATGCAGATATATAGGCACGAAAATAAGGAAGAAAGACAGGGTCTTCCTGCCCAGGCAGCCCATTCTGAGATGGACGAGGAGTGGTGTCACCGCCGACTATGGGAGGATGATTTGTGCTCCTGCCTCAGCCCATGCTCCCTCTAGCTCTAAGTGGAAAGGTTTTCCTTCTTTGACTCTGGCTGAGGGTCAGGTATTTCCTGCCACCGAGTGAAAGGCATTTGCCTTTCAGCCCACGGGCTCTGGAGAATTGGGGGTTCCTAAGGAGACAAGCTTAAAACAGATACAGTTTCTTTAGAAAATAATTCTACAGGGTGGAAGCCTTGGTCTGGCTGGCTCAGAGGCAGAAGGGGGTGATTGCTTTAGCAGGGGCACATGGACTCATGTTCCCACAAAAGGAAGTTGGAGCAGGACAGGGAACCTCGCTGAGGCCAGGAAGTCCTTGGAGCCAACTCTGCAGTGGGGCCCAGTATCCCATCATGCACAGTGCGTCCTGTGATGCCATCTCTCTCTTAGGTTAGGCAAAAGATGTGAGATTGGGAGCCACTTTAATTTATTTTGGGGAATAGATTGTGTAGTGGGCTGAATTGTGACTCCAAATAAGGTAGGTCCAAGTCCTAATCTCAATATCCGCGAATGGGGTCTTATTTGGAAAAAAGTCTTTGCAGATGTACAAGCCCCTTCTTACTTGTTCCCCTGTATACTGTCTCCTGCTTAATATGAAAACTCAGCCAAGGATGATTAGACACTCGGAAGCTTCTAACAGGAACAACGAAAATCTGCCCAAACAGAAAAGGAACCTAGGAAACAATGCTGAGAGCCAAGAAAAAGCTCAAAAAAGTTCTAATCAATACCCTCAGAAAGACAAAAAAAGTTTTATGTCCACAAGGCAAGAAATGGATGCTACAAAAAATGGAATAATCAGAAAGGAAGAAGTTGCTCTTGGAAATAAAAACTGACCCACCCCACCCCCCAAATAAAAAATAACAGAAAAGCTGAAAGGCAAAATTAAAGCAAGTGGCCAGAAAGTAGGGGAGAAAGACAAAGAAATGGAAAAAGAAAACATTACATTTAAGATCAATCTAACAAAATGAAACTGTAAAGAGTGAGACTAAAGAAAACGATGGAAAAAATTGTTAGGAAGATTACCCAGGAAGGTGTCACAGACAAGGGCATCTGTCATTTTTAAGACCACATGTCAGAGAGCACTGAATCAAGGAAAGGCAACTGACCCCAAGGCTCCTCTCATCAAGTGTCAGAACACAGCAGACAAGGAGGAGATCCTAACCATGTCCAGAGAGAAAACCTGGTTGCATGGGAAGGATTGAGACTTTCCCCAGAGAACTGTTGGCTATCTCAGTAACAGTGCTGGCTGCCAAAGGCAGAGGAGCGAACCTTAACATTTCCAAGTGAAAATGATTTTCATTTAAAATTGTGCATCTAGCTCAAATGTAAATTGACCTGGAGCAAAGAATAAAGGCATTTTCCAGATATACCAAGGTTTAAGAAACTTACTTTCTGTGTACTGTTTTGTGAGGTTACTGGATAATAGGAAAATAGGGGAATAAAGGATGATTGCAGTAGCTCTAATCCAGAAGTGGACTGGGAGGAATTTTCAGAGAGCCTCAGGAAGGCATCATCCTCGACTCCTTGCTCTCTGTCACACCCCACATCAACTCTAACTTCACAGAAACATCCCAGGTCAGGCAGTCGGTTTTCACCACCTGGACCACATCAGTCTTTGCACCAATCGGCCCAGCGGGACTCCTTGCATCTGGGGCTACCCCCTACTGCCCATTCTCCTAACTGCATCCAGGTGGATGGTTTAAAATGGGACTGCCCTCGGTCACTCATCTTCTGACCCCGCCTAATTTTTCTTATCCATATTTGCCATCTGGCATATTGCGCATGTACTTCATTTGTCCCCCTGATCTGTGAGGAGGGAATTTATCTCTTCATTCTCTGCCCTGAAGAGTGCTTGCTGCATGCAGCAGTCATTTAATTAATGTATGTTGAAAGAATAAATGTTTCCCAGATTTCCCCACAAGAATCGTCTAGGCTGAAATAGCACCTCTTTGCAAGATCTTCCCAGATTGCTCCTCGACGCTGCCTATAGGAGCTTCTGCAAGACGGAGGTTCCTATGTGCGCTGCGCATTGTAACAGCCACTAGCCACAGGTAGCTACAAGCCCTTAAAAAATGGCTAGTACGACCAAGGAAATGACCTGTTCCTTTTACTTGTTTCCAGCTTTCTTTCCATAGCCACCTGCGGTTGGTTGTCACGTGCTGAACGTGCAGGTATTTCATAACCCTGACTCATTTACACTGCTTTATTCATGAATCCCTGAAACCATCCCCGTTGATGCGGTGCGTTTCCCTGTAGGGGATGTAGCTCGGAGAGAGCAGGGTCTTGCCTCAGGGATGGGGAGCGAGGCCTGGCACCTGGTCGGCGCTCAGCAGGTATTGTGGAGGCGCGCACGCGTGGCACTCGGGAGAGAACTGGGGCTCCGGAGTGCAGGGAGAGATGGTGACCACTCCGGGAAAGATGGACACGTTGGCAGACGGAAGGCTGGCCCCTCAGAGCCTGAAGAACCGAGCTCGGAGCCACGTGGAGGAACGCAACCCAGACCACAAGCGGGACTACGCGCTGAAGGTCCCCTCCCTATCCAGCGCAGGCGCGGATGAGGCCGCCCGCCCCGCGCCTCTTCCGGCTTCCCGGTTTAGCCGCAGATTCGTCACGATCGGCCAGCGGGGACCAGCCCAACAGGCTCAGAGAAATTAGCCGCAGCTCTCTCCGGGCCCGCAGATTTTGTGATCTCGGGCCGCGCGCGCTGAGAACCGAGCGTGGAGCTGGGCCTCGCGGCCGTAGCGAATCGACGGTGGGTCGGCAGCGGCGGGGCGGGGCCTGAGCGCGCCGCAGCCACGCCTGGGACCGAGCGGTCGCGCACCGCCCTGCGACCTCTGCCCTCCACCGATACCCCTCCTCCAGTCGCCGAGATCCGCCCCCGTCCCACGAGGCCCCGCTTCCCGCCACGCCACGAGGTGGGATCTGGGCGCTCGCTGGAGAGGGAGCGTGGGACCGGCCAGTCGCTGGTCTCGGCGCACCGCGTGCGGGAGCTCGCGTAGACCCGGCTGGTCTGGGATCCCCCCAGGCTCGTGAGGACACTCTAAGGTCCCTAATACAGCCTTATCAAGTGGCTGGGTGCACTGGTGACAGATGCCTACTCAATGATTGTTAGGTCTGCAGGGGCTTCTGACCTGTAAATACTGCCCACAGATAGTTGTAATTTCTGGGAAGGAAGCGAGTTTGTCTAGGTGAACCGCAGATGGGTACATCAGGGAGTAGGAAGAGCATTGATGGGTGCCTCTAGACCAGGGTCTTCCCGCCTGGGCCTCTGCACTGTGGCACTTGGTTTGTATAGTCCTTTCTTGAAGGCGGGGGGGGGGGGGCGGGGTTGGGTGTGGCTGTTCCGTGCATTATGGGATGTTTACAGCATCCTAGGTCCTTACTGCTCCTAGTTGTGACAACTGAAGATGTCTACTGGCACATGTCCTTGGGAGATTGCCTTGCTGTGGAAGGTGTCATGGAGGGCCTCAGACCCTGAAACAGACTTCTAGTGGAAACAGTGACAGATGCCTGAGGGGGAGGATACTGCTGGGTGACAGCAGGGGTGGGAAGGAATGGGATTTCCAGGAAGCTTAATAGAAGACCAGAGGTTTCTGAGAGTATATGAAAAAGGCTTTCTTATCTGAGACTGGGTCCTGTGTGGATGCCCATGGCCCCTTGCATTTCTCATGTCCTTTCCTATGAACAGGATGGATCCAGTGCTTTCTTCTGTCCGGCT